CTCCCCCTGTGAATGAAATCTGACAATGGAACACACTTCACGTCAAAAATCATTCAAAGCATCTCACATGCCTTACAGATCCCCTGGAAACTCAATACGCCCTGCAGACTGCAAGCCAGTGGTGTAGTGGAGCGTACCAATCAGACCCTTAAACAGCATCTCTCAAAAGTGTGCCAAGAAGCCTCACTGCGATGGCCTGATGCTTTGCCCCTCGTCCTACTCCATATCCGCGTTCTCCCAAAAGGTAAATTAGGGCGTAGTCCCTTTAAAATTATGTTTGGAAGGGCATGGCCTATAAATGGCACCCCGGTTCTGTCAGGGGAATAGGAGTTGGGTAATGGTTTTTTGTCACAGTATATGTGTTCCCTGTCTGCTGTTCTCTTGTTTCTTCACAGGTATACCAAGGATTCCCAGCCTCTCCCCTTGGACTCTCCCGTTTACTCCTTACAGCCCGGTGACTCTGTGCTTGTTCGCACCTGGAAAGACGAGCCTCTCCAGGAAAAGTGGAAAGGACCCTATACCATCCTGCTGATCTCCCATACAGCGGCAAAGATCGAGGGACACAAAAACTGGATCCATCACTCTCGTCTGAAGGCAGTAACAGCCCCCTCGTCAGCAGGACAGTGGACCGTCCAACCTGCTGACTCCTCATCTAGTGACAATCTCGGGCTAAAGCTACTGTTTAAAAGACACAAATAGCAGGCACCTTAATGCTAAAATGGGCCCACCCAGGTACTGGAGACCCTGGGTTGGGAAGACTCTGGTAATAATTGGGTAACATTGTTATTCTCTGTATTGGTATTTCCAAACTGTGCATATCGGGAGCATAACTCCTTTGTTTTGCTTGCGCACCATGTTGCTAATTTAACAAACCAGACTGATTGCTGGGTATGTGCTCCAACTCCACTATCCCCCAAAACGGGAATGCCCCTTGACATGCTGCCCTTGACCCTAGCAGAATTAGCCACCACCAAAGAGCAGGAAAGAACGGACTCACCGTTCTGGAACAAGACCTCTTTACAGCAAGCCACCTATCAGGACCAGAAGTATTCAGTTGCAGTACTCACTGAAAAAGTATTAAAATCATAAAATCATAAAATATCAGGGTTGAAAGGAACCCCAAAAGGTCAACTAGTCCAACCCCCTGCTTGAAGCAGGACCAATTCCCAGTTAAATCATCCCAGCCAGGGCTTTGTCAAGCCTGACCTTAAAAACCTCTAAGGAAGAAAATTCTACCACCTCCCTAGGTAACGCATTCCAGTGTTTCACCACCCTCTTAGTAAAAAAGTTTTTCCTAATATCCAATCTAAACCTCCCCCACTGCAACTTGAGACCATTACTCCTCGTTCTGTCATCTGCTACCATTGAGAACAGTCTAGAGCCATCCTCTTTGGAACCCCCTTTCAGGTAGTTGAAAGCAGTTATCAAATCCCCCCTCATTCTTCTCTTCTGCAGGCTAAACAATCCCAGCTCCCTCAGCCTCTCCTCATAAGTCATGTGTTCCAAACCCCTAATCATTTTTGTTGCCCTTCGCTGGACTCTCTCCAATTTATCCACATCCTTCTTGTAGTGTGGGGCCCAAAACTGGACACAGTACTCCAGATGAGGCCTCACCAATGTCGAATAGAGGGGAACAATCACGTCCCTCGATCTGCTCGCTATGCCCCTACTTATACATCCCAAAATGCCATTGGCCTTCTTGGCAACAAGGGCACACTGCTGACTCATATCTAGCTTCTCGTCCACTGTCACCCCTAGGTTCTTCTCCGCAGAACTGCTGCCTAGCCATTCGGTCCCTAGTCTGTAGCTGTGCATTGGGTTTTTCCGTCCTAAGTGCAGGACTCTGCACTTGTCCTTGTTGAACCTCATCAGATTTCTTTTGGCCCAATCCTCCAATTTGTCTAGGTCCTTCTGTATCCTATCCCTCCCCTCCAGCGTATCTACCACTCCTCCCAGTTTAGTATCATCCGCAAATTTGCTGAGAGTGCAATCCACACCATCCTCCAGATCATTTATGAAGATATTGAACAAAACCGGCCCCAGGACCGACCCTTGGGGCACTCCACTTGATACCGGCTGCCAACTAGACATGGAGCCATTAATCACTACCCGTTGAGCCCGACAATCTAGCCAGCTTTCTACCCACCTTATAGTGCATTCATCCAGCCCATACTTCCTTAACTTGCTAACAAAAATACTGTAAAAAACCGTGTCAAAAGCTTTGCTAGAGTCAAAAAACAATACATCCACTGCTTTCCCTTCATCCACAGAACCAGTAATCTCATCATAAAAGGCAATTAAATTAGTCAGGCATGACCTTCCCTTGGTGAATCCATGCTGGCTGTTCCTAATCACTTTCCTCTCATGCAAGTGCTTCAGGATTGATTCTTTGAGGACCTGCTCCATGATTTTTCCAGGGACTAAGGTGAGGCTGACTGGCCTGTAGTTCCCAGGATCCTCCTTCTTCCCTTTTTTAAAGATTGGCACTACATTAGCCTTTTTCCAGTCATCCGGGACTTCCCCGGTTCGCCACGAGTTTTCAAAGATAATGGCCAATGGCTCTGCAATCACAGCCGCCAATTCCTTCAGCACTCTCGAATGCAACTCGTCCGGCCCCATGAACTTGTGCACGTCCAGCTTTTCTAAATAGTCCCTAACCACCTCTATCTCCACAGAGGGCTGGCCATCTCTTCCCCATTTTGTAATGCCCAGCGCAGCAGTCTGGGAGCTGACCTTATTAGTAAAAACAAAGGCAAAAAAAGCATTAAGTACATTATGTTTTACCCAAAACCAATCTAATCACTATGGGCATCCTGTGGGAAAAAGCTCCTGTGTGGGCTAATGGGTATTAAATAAAGACCAACAGGGGAGGCCAACAGTATGGGTGTAATGGTTCCTCCCCTTTTAAAAAAACACTTACAAATAATCTTACCACAAAAAAGGGGTTTAAAAATGTAACTTGCCTTCCAGTTAATATCTCCAATGTAGCAAGCCAATGGTGGGTTTGTAGTGGTCCCTATGGCAAGTGTAATTTAAATGGCACAATTAAAAATGCCCCCACTTGTACCCAGTCAAAAAAATGGGATGCCCCCCTAGGGGCATATAAACTGTTTAAAAAAGCAGCCTTAAATATCCCAGGAATCCCCTTAAGAAACAGTCCTTACTGGGCCCTACAGGGTCACTATTTTGTATGTGGCCGAAAGGCTTACAAGGTGCTGCCAGCCAACTGGACAGGTAGCTGTTATATAGCTCATGGAGTTCCTCATCTTTCCATAACTGCCACACTGCCCAAAAAAAAAATTAAAAATGCCCGAAACACCTCTGTTAAGTCACAAAAAAAAAACCCTGCGGCAACTGACTACGGCATTAAAGGGCAATATAAAAAATCCCCTCACAACCAAGAAGCTGGTAGGGTGCTCTGTACTAAAAATAGCGCCACTGTTTACCGGACCAGCCATGGCATGCATAGGCCGCTATACTGTAAGGCTGCAAATAATACTTAAAAAGGTGGCCTTAAAGTTAAAAAACTCGGTTAGTAATTTAGGGTCAGCAGTAAAAACTTTAAATAAAAAGGTACAGCAGCTCAGAACGTTTTCCCTCCAAAACAGGCTGGCTTTGGACTATCTCTTGGCATCCCAAGGAGGGGTTTGTGCCCTCGTCGGGCCCCAATGTTGTGTGTATATAAATAATAGCAGTTATAAAATCTATAAAAAAGTAGTACAGGCTGAGGCCCATGCCCGAGCCGGAGCACAGGTTGCCTATACTGCCCCAGAGAACAACTGGTTGCAAACCTTGTTTTCAGGCTGGGGTTTGTCGTCTTGGCTTGGTGGTTTATTTAGCCTGCTATTAAAAATTCTCTTTCCTGTATTGCTTGTATTACTGGTATTATGCTGTGCAGTATCATGTGTCAGGGCTCTTTTGCAAAAGTTAATATGTCATTCTCTTCAGGGCTATCACAAAGTGCTTATGCAAAGTCATATTGTAAAAAAATAAGTAGCCCAAGTAAGAAAACTCAGAGCCAAGGCTGTTGAGTGTTCTCAAAGGGGGGGAGTTGTTGGGAACACTGGGGCATGGCCACTAGGTAACTCGAGGGGATGGAAGACCACGAGTGTCGATGAAGCCCCCTCGCACTAGGCCCAGGTGTCCTTGCCCCCCCCCCTCCTGCCTGGAGGCACTCGCAGCAGCTCTGCGTACTAGGCCCAAGTGTCCTTGGCCCCCCCGCCTGGAGGCACACACAGCAGTTATGCTGAAAATCTGCAACAGTATGTTGCAGAGTCAGACTGCCTGAAACTAAGCAAGGCCAAACAAAAAAAATATAAAAAAACAATGCTGAATAAAGCAGCTTTATGTATAGTTTAACAAACAAATAATACAAAAAATCAGAAAACTAGCTGGGAACTGGATTGGCTGGCTATATAGATACTTGGGGCAGCTTGCTATTAAATAAGTATGCTAAAAAAAAGAATGTATAAAAGCCTGTGTAACTTCCTGCTCTGTGTGCAAGATTTGAGATTTTATTCTCCCTGTACCTGTTTGCAGCTGCAAATAAACTTTTCTGCTTCTCCACCCCGTTGTAATTATTGGGTGTAGCACACCAGGTAACGAACCACTCCAGCTGTTGTTCAGCCTCTCGGCACTGGGTGCCGGCAACATTGGGATGGTGACACATTCCCCTCTGGTGTTATCTGGACTGGTGATCTCCTAGGCCTCTCCAATCCTTGACTCTGGGAGCCAGCCTTACTCTGCTCTGCTGTGAGAGCCCCCACTCCTGGGCTGTTCACGCACAGCCTCTGGCATGTAAGCTACTTGCAAGCAAATGACACTAACCAATATCTCCGGTCCCAGACACAACCCTAGGAACCTCTGTCTTGCAGTATCCAGTTATGCCCGCCGGATGTTGCAAGCTTATATAAATTCATCACTTTAACAAAGAAATTGATATGTACCAGGCCTGTTATCCCAAGGGGTGCCTGTAACACACTTTGAACCAAATGCACTGCTTCAGGTAGAACAAAAACAAACAAAGTTTATTAACTATAAAGACAGATTTTAAGTGATTATAAGTCAAAGCATAACAAGTTAGAGTGGTTACCAAAATAAAATAAAATAAAATAAAATAAAATATAAGCATACAGTCTAAACTCTCAACCTTATTAGACTGGGCAGCAACTAGATTAAGCAGTTTTTCCTCACCCCACTGGATATTGCAGTCCTCAATATACAGGTTTGTCCTTTAAGCCTGGGCTAATCTTCTGTGTTGGAGTCTTGTCATCTTCTTCTCAGTGTCTTGGTTGCTTGCAGCATAGGTGGGGGCAGGAGAAGGCCCCAGAATATGTCCACTCTGCCTGTTTTATACTCTCAGTCCATATGCTTATAGAACACGAGTCCAGGCATGTCTGTGGGGCATTGCGGAGTCTCCAAGAAGGCTGAGCAATTCCCCTGGTGGGGCCTCATGTAGGTGAGTCATTGCATTGTAGCTCCCTTGCTAGACAATGGCTGTTGATGGGTTATTTGACACCCCGCCTGGGCATTGGTTACTTTCCTTGTTGTTGCCTCTGGGAGCGAATATCTGGCTGATTCCACAACTTACAGCATGTTTTAGTGACCACCATACAATACAATTCTCATAACTTCATATGCATTAATGATATACATATATATGGATAGAGAAATGACTCAGCAGATCATAACCTTTCCCCTGATACCGTACAAGGCATGCTTTATATGTAAGATCACAATTATATGAAAATGAATAATATGGAGAGTATACAATATGTTCCCCCAAGGTACAGACTGTCACAGATGGTATGGAACAGAAACATACTAGAAGAACTAGCTACAATATTCATTTCAAAGTGTTTATTATATATTTTGCCCAAAGAAAATGCAATACACTTAATAAAAGATTTGTTTCTGCATCAAATGCTGAACAAAATGCAAGCACGGCTGGGAGGCCATCCTTGAAAATGTTCAATTTTTCCATCCTCAGCCACCTGTCCTTCCATTCACAGGACTGAAGGGGACTTTTTGGTTGTGGTTGACAAAGTTACATGGATGTACAGCACCTGACAATGGATTTCCATTTCAGCAGAAATTTAGTAAAAAGAAAGAAGTCCTGTCCAGTCATGCTTTTATAAACTATCAGGAAAGAGCTAGTTAATAGTAGTCAATTCTCATTCCCGCCCTTCCTCCCCAACCCACCACATGAGATAGGCTGTAGCCTATTTTAATAATCAAGTATAACTAGCTTCCAAAAGAAGTGTATTTATCCAGTCTGGCACTTGATCATAATTCTTTTCCATACTAAAAATGTACTTTGTGGGAAATGACGTACAATAGCTTGCAAGTCTCACACATGCCTCAAACAACTTTTGTGGAAAGAACACAGTAGTACAGGAAGTTTCAAATGCAATCTTTAGATGCATAAAAGTCTGTAGGAAAACATTATGGCTTCCAAATCAAAACAAAACCACCCAAAAACAGTGCGTGGTAATCAGGCTCCCTCACAGCCCATAACCACATACATGAACATGCCTAGTAGGAAGACTGAAGAACTTCTTCTGTCCAGTGAGCTCAACATTTTCACAAAAGATTATCAGTTCCATGAAAATATTAGGCATCTTAGAACATACCAAAGGCAGTCTTAAGGAGGAGGTTCTTCTCCTCGAATAGCTTTGTACTTGGCCATGTCCTCTGGGAAGACCTTAGTCAGCTCTTGAATCAATAAGCTTTTAAATTTCTAGAATGAAAAAAGATTTTAGAATATAAAAAAATTGGCCATATATTGGAGCCAGTCAAACAGAATAAGTTATTCACTGAACTATTTGCAAATAATAGTCAACCAGGTCTACCATTCCTTGACCTCACTGAATGGTATTCAAGTCAGAAAAAACAAGTCTTACAAGACCCTTATTCATAGTAACTGCCTGAAATCTATTTTATATTTTCTATAAACTAAACTAGCAATCAAACTCTTTCAAGAAAGGTAAGGAAACTAGACTCTTGATAAGCTCTGGCGCAATGATGTCCAATTTGTGGCCCTCAAGTCTATCATTTTAAAGAAGAAAACCGGCACTTACTTAATTGAAAGTGTGCTGAACCATGTCCTGAAGTTTGTAAACTAAGAAGCCTGAATCAGCCCCCTTTCCACCATTTCCCCCAGTGCTTCCTAGCTCTTCTCTTGAAGCCTCAAGAGCAACTCTGATGTGAGCCAAGTTCCTCTGAGCAACTGCTGTCCCTTCCCCGATGCAACAGCTCAGCAACTCATCTGCTTGGTGCACCACAGCGGAAGGAGAGAATAGTTCTGACTTCCCTGCCAGGCTGTGGGAGCTTCAGGGAGAAAACAATAGAAGTTTGATTGATACTACTTGAGACCAGGGAAGCACCTAGCAAAGCATAGCGGATTTCCTTCCCTCACACAATCACAGGACAAGGGTAGGAAATCTCTAGTAAGGGAGGGAAAGATGCTGAGAACCAATCAATTATGGCTTCCTGAATCTTTATCCCAACCCTGAACGCAGATTAGAGCAACCTAGGAGTTTCTCTAATTTGTACTATGGTGTCCAATAACTGGCTATAGCCAGCATACAGCATGCTCCAGTCACACTCTCTCCATCAGAAATACGACTTGTATAGTTAAACATAAAACTATTATGCTAGATCACAATAGGTCCACCAAGCCTGATATTCTACCCAAAAAGAGCATCTTACACCCAGCACTTCAGAAGGAATAAAAAGAATAATGCACTTAGCCAAGTATGTAAGGCTACATCACAAGGCTGAACACAGACCACTGAAACCTGGAGATCAATTTATGTCTTGTAGCACGCATATTGCTGTCCTCTGTGCGTATTTAAATCTAGCTATTCTTCAGCTGCAGATTTTTTGAGTCTTGCTAAAAACTGTCTCAATATCTTTCAGTAATGAATTCCTAAGGCTGATTAAACATTAGGAAACAGGATGCCCACAATCTTATTGAAAAGAAACTACTAATTCAGACAAACACATTTTAACTAACATCAACTTGAACTTCCATTTAATATCATCTGCCACTGTGTGCCTCATCTCATACTGAAGATGATAAAATTCACAAAAGATGTATTTTACTGTTAGGTACAACAGTTTCTTGTTATACATCTATAACTATTATCCACACATCAGTGTTCCAAAGGCAATAAGGCCAAACAAGATTTGGAAAACATAACAATGCTTTTATTTAAGGGGAATAAGTGCAGACTGCTGTTACTACTAAAAGTTAATTAAGTGTCCTCCATTCATGGGTTTAAGAGTGGGTTTGGTTTTTTTTTTTTTTTTTTTTTTTAAACTTTGATTTAATCCCTTTAGCATCACACAAGGGGAAAATACTGTTATGGGTTGGGTTAAACCTTGTTGAAACTGGTGTGGTTAAACTGCCCTTCACTCACGAAAAGTAGAAAAAATATTCAAACTCTTATGAAACCAGAAAGGTGGAACAATAGCAGCCTCCAGCCAAAACACAGACACATGCAAGGCACATGTGGATGGAGAGGCTTCATTGAATATTGCTTTAGCAGCGGTGTATGAGACAGGGAAGCAGCAAGAATACAAAACAAAAATCAGTGAAAGAGCAGAAAGTCAAGGACAAAGGCTTGCCTGGGAGCATGATAAAAGCCTAGAGATATTTTTATGCTGAGTGTTGGTTGAAAGAGGCTTGGAACTGTGAGCAAAGAAACTCTCTCCTCTTTGACTCCTGCTATGTTCAGGGAAACATGACTCTCTGAATTTTTTGTAAATAAGCAGGAATGCATTGAAGATACCAAGCTCAATCAACAGTTTCTCCTCCTGACCAATACAACCCACAGGACCCTGAATTTTGGGGAACTGTTTAGGTCACACAAGGGTAACTATCAAATAACAGAAACCATCTTACTTTATTAGAAAGAGATAATTAGAAAGTATCCTCCATGTTTTTCTATTCTTAGAACTGTTTTATGGTGAATTTGCACACCATAGCCATGCTTAGGAAATTATACATTCAGTACCTATGGAATAGCAGTTGAAACAAAACCAACTAGCTCTTACACACCTGACACTTTCCATCATTAGATATCAAAGTGAGGTGGCAGCTCTATGAACAGACTGTATAAAGAAGATTAGATTAGATGTGTGTTATGGCTATAGAAATGAAAGTTTGATTTTATATTTAACCTTACCATAGAATTAGAGACCATAACTACAAGACAAGCTGCAACATTATCAGTTAAGACAAATAGATTGGAAATAAGCCGCAGTGCAACCCACTTAATGAAGAAAATCTGATAATCATTCCAAAAAGATGACAAGGCTTAGAAATACTTAAATATGGTTCCTATCCTTATTATAAAGAACACAATTATATTTTTAATACATCATAGAATATCAGGGTTGGAAGGGACCTCAGGAAGTCATCAGGCCAATGCTCAAACCACGGAACTATCCCTCCCCCCAAATTATACTCATTATACATTATACTCATCTTACCTTCATAGTGTCAATTTTGCCTTTTACTTGTTCATTTTTAGCCAAAGCCCTTTCCAAACACTCTTTAGTGTAAAGCTGGGGATTACGGCCTTGATCTATGTATCTGGAAATATGAAAGATGCCATGTAAGTGTATCATGTAAGTTAAGATATTCCTTATCTTCACTAAATACAGCAATGAGAAGCTCAATTACACCGAGTAAAAGAAAGGCATATACAAGTATGCTTTGTGTTCCTCCATCTGAAGCATGCATTCTAATATGTGGATTAGGCCAGCAGCTCCCAAACTGTGATCCAAGGAGCACCTGACAGTGATCTGCAAACATCTGGTGCTGGTTTTCAACGGCCGGCTGCTTCTAAGTGTCCAGACTTTTCCTTGTGAAGAGCCTAGAGGATTGTTGAATGTGCTGGGAATCAGCACCATGTGACTAGCTAACTCTCTCCAGACCACCAGTAAGTACATGAAAGCTGGAGAAGAAACAGGAGTCACCATCAGCAAATGGACCAGCAGTGAGAGCAAAGCAAAGTGATGTGACAACAGTAGCAAAGTGGTATACAGGGAGAAAGGAATAAAGCAGCTAGAACATCAAGGGAAGAACTGAGTAGACAGAAGTGGGGAGATGAAAAAAACCAAATATTCAAATTATCTTCTTTTAAAAAGGTCACACATTTACTTTATTAGAAAGTGCTAAAAAGGCATTAGTATTTCCCCAATTGTACTATGTCACAGAAACAATTACTATAGTTGCCACAAGGATGTTATGTGATTGAAAATAAATTGAAAGATATTGTCTCAAACTATTAAAATATAGACTGAACTATAAGAAAGTTTTGAAACCACCTGGTTTAGCCATCTACAAGTAGCAATACTATACACATTTCTCAGCTTGTCACATTTGAGGTAATTTAGAATTCATGAAATTGAATGACTAATGTGCTAACTCACTGAGCAGTATAAGTTGATTCACATAGCTCTGCCATTAAACTTTGGCCCAAAACTAGATCAGTAAGAGTATAACAGGTGAATGCAAAATTAACAACTGACTGCCAATTATGTAAATATATGCAGTGACTATGGTGTACAAAAACAGGGGCTCTGATAAAAAACAAACTAGTTTTCACTTGTAATCTAAAGCAAGATTTGAATCCTGAATAAAGAACCAGAGTGAGATGGAAAGCTATACACAGTACCAAGTAACTGAATTAGATAAGCTCTTTCCCAGCCTTGAGTTATGCAATTTATGCAAACATTAATGACAAAATAAACAGACGTGAAAATAGATGGATAACTCATAATTTGTCTTACTCTTTTTCCTTCAGATTCTTTAGGAATATTTCTAAAAAGTCAAATTAAACAAAACACAAAAACTGCAGTGGAAATGTCTAACACTCCAAGATTAACTGTCTCTTCAATTTGATGATGTGTGGAGGTTGCTCCCCAGATGTAAAGTTACTTACTCAAAAACCTCTAAAGGTACGCTTATATCGTGAAGTTGCTGTCGGCACTTGTCAATATCTTGCAAGCCGGTAACCATAAAATTCCTGGGAAGAGAAAAATCATGTGGCTATAAAACCAGACCCAAATTAGTTACAAACATCCTTCTACATTTTCTCAGCTTCAAAGTATAACTGATCTCACTGCTGTTGGGTTGCTGCCTACAAGAGGCTGCAAGAATAAACAAGGGAATGAAAAGGTTCTCTGGAGGTTCTCATGGCACCTTTTCCATGTGCAGCCCTGGATTCCTAATGCACTTCTAAATCTAGGTCTTTGGTACACAGCACACCATACCGAGTATATGAGTCCCTTCCAAACAGATAAGTTAATTAATCGTCACAGGACACTCACAAAATAAATCATTATTGTTGCAATCACATGTCCCAGATTTGACCCTACTACAAACAGGTTTGGAAATCAGTATATTTTCCCGTCAGGCTGCACACTTGGCACCACTGCATCCTGTTGAATCATGCTAATAGACCATGCTTCAAAGTTTAGTTTACAGTTTATTTAAACCTAAGTATTGCTCTTCACACACCAATGCAACTGCACGTTAGAGACCTGCTCCCTGCTGATCACCACGCCACGTGACAGGCGTTACTTGACATGTGGACACTGGTCCATCACCGACAGACCCGTCCTGACTACTCCTAGGCGAGACAGCGCCTGCAGGCGAGGAGGCACCACAGGCCTCCCCACCCACAAGTGGCTACAGGCCGTCGCTCCTCCGGGAAGTGTCCCCACGCCCGCTTCCCATAAGGCCCCACGGCGCCTGCAAGGGGCCGCCAGGGAGACCCCCAGCCGCCAGCGCAGGGGCCACTGAGCCGGGGGCGGGCGCGGCGGGGGTCTCACAGCTTCTGGTTGAGCCCGGCCTGGCTGCTGGGCTGGAAGTCGCTGACGATGATGCCGAGCTGCCGGATGTTCTCCACAAACTTCTCCAGCTGCTCCTCCAGCGAGTCGAACTTCTCCGCCATCGCCCTGCGCCGCCGCCACTTCCGGGTCAGCTGCCACTTCCGGTCGCGCGCCCGAGAGCGTCAGGGGGCGGGGCGAAGCCGGGGTTCCCGCGCTGCGACCCAGCAGCGGGCCAGGCCCGGGCTTAGGGGAAAGCGCCCCAGGGAGGGTGGCAGCTCCCCGGCCTCGCGGGCTCCTGCTCTGCCCTGGAACAACCCAAGGCGAGCTCCGTGGGAGTCGCCGGGCGTGGGCGCAGCTACGCTCCGGTCAATCTGCCCAGGCCATTAGGTGCCGCGGAGAAGCCACCTGACTGAGGGGCGTGGTGCCCTGGTTGCCATGCGGAGGTTGTTGCAGTGGGCGTGCGGACTTGGTCTGTGTCAAGACTAATAGGCCTCCCGCAGCTGTCCGGTAGCACCCTGTGCCCTTGCAGCACTGTCAGTTCCTAGCACCAGTGCTCAGAAGTCACAGAGAGAGAAAGAACATTAAGTTGGGTCAGGCCAAAGGTCCAAATAGCCCAGTGTCCTGTTTTCCAACAGTGGCCAATGCCAGGTTCCCCAGAAGGAATGAACAAAACCTGTAATCTTCCTTTTCTTTTTGTAATCTTAAAGTGATCCTTCCCTAATTCCCAGCTTCTGGCAAACATAGGCTAGGGACACCATCCCTGCCCATCCTGGCTAGTAGCCGTTGATGGATCTAGATCTCCATGAACTTATCTAGTTCTTTTTTATCTTATAACCATGTTATAGTCTTGGCCTTCACAACATCCTATGGCAAGGAGTTCCATAGGTTGACTGTGCATTGTGTGAAAAAATACTTCCTTTCATTTGTTTTAAATCTGCTGCCTATTAATTTAATTTGGTGATCCCTAGTTTTTGTGTTATAAGAAGGAGTAGATAACACTTCATTTTTTACTTTCTCCACACCAGTCATGATTTTATAGACCACAAGTATATCCCCCTCCTAGCCATCTCTTTTCTAAGCTGAAAAGTCCCAGCCTTATAAATCTCTCTTGATAAGGAAGCCATTTAATACCCCTAATCATTTTTGTTACCCTTTTCTGAACCTTTTCCACTATATCTTTTTGTGAGATGGGGCAACCACATCTGCACATAGTATTCAAGATGTGGGCGTACCATGGATTTATATAGAGGCAGTATGAGATTTTCTGTCTTATTATCTATCCCTTTCTTAATGATGCCCAACATTCTGTTTGCTTTTTTTGACTGCTGCTGCACATTGAAAAAAAATTTTGCTAGCTGTCCTTCAAATTCTTTTTTGGCCTTCCTAATTATATTTTTACACTTCAGTTGCCAGAGTTCATGCTTCTTTCTATTTTCCTCACTAAGATTTACTTCCACTTTTTAAAGGATGCCTTTTTGCCTCCCACTGTTTCTTTTACTTTGTTGTTGCCATAAATATAAAGGGAAGGGTAAACACCTTTAAAATCCCTCCTAGCCAGAGGAAAAACCCTTTCACCTGTAAAGGGTTAAGAAGCTAGGATAACCTCGCTGGCACATGACCAATGAGACAAGATACTTTCAAAAGCTGGAGGGAGGGAGGAACAAAGAGTCTGTCTCTGTGATGCTTTTGTTGGGGACAGAACAGGAATTGAGTCTTAGAACTTAGTAAGTAGTCTAGCTAGATATGGGTTAGATTATGATTTCTTTAAATGGCTGAGAAAATAAGATGTGCTGAATAGAATGGATATTCCTCTCTTTGTGTTTTTTTGTAACTTAAGGTTTTGTCTAGAGGGATTCTCTGTGTTTTGAATCTAATTACCCTGTAAGGTATTTACCATCCTGATTTTACAGAGGTAATTCTTTTTTACTGTTTCTTCTATTAAAATTCTTCTTTTAAGAACTGAATGTTTTTTTCCTTGTTCTTAAGATCCAAGGGTTTGGGTCTGTGCTCACCTATGCAAATTGGTGAGGATTTTTACCAAACCTTCCCCAGGAAGTGGGGTGCAAGGGTTGGGAGGATTTTGGGGGGAAAGACGTTTCCAAACAACGCTTTCTCAAAAATACACCCGGTCAGACGTTTGGTGGTGACAGTGGAAGTCCAAGGGCAAAAGGTAAAATAGTTTGTACCTTGGGGAAGTTTTAACCTAAACTGGTAAAAGTAAGCTTAGGAGGTTTTCATGCAGGTCCCCACATCTGTACCCTAGAGTTCAGAGTGGGGGAGGAACCTTGACAGTTGAGTAGCCACATTGGCACCTTTTTGGTTCTGTTACTATGTTTTTTAATTTGGGATATTCATTTCTGTTGAGCCTCTATTATGGTGTCTTTAAAAAGCTTGCAGGGATTTTACTTTTGGCACTTTACCTTTTAATTTCTGTTTAACTAACCTCCTCATTTTTGTGTAGTTCCCCTTTCTGAAATTAAATGCTACAGTGTTGGGTTGCTGTAGTGTTTTCCGTGCCACAGGAATGTTAAATTTCATTATATTATGGTCACTATTACCAAGCAGTCCAGCTATATTCACCTCTTGGACCAGATCTTGTGTTCCACTTAGGTCTAAATCAAGAATTGCCTCTCCTCTTGTGGGTTCCAGAACCAGCTGCTCCAAGAAGCAGTCATTTCAGGTGTCAAGAAACTTTATCTCTGCATCCCGTCCTGAGGTGACATGTACCCAGTCAATATGGGGATAGTTGAAATCCCCCATTTTTATTGAGTTATTAATTTTAATAGTCTCGCTAATCTCTCTGAGCATTTCACGTCACTGTCATCATCCTGGTCAGGTGTTCAGTAATATATCTCTACAGCTATATTCTAATTATTCAAGCATGGAATTACTATCCATAGAGATTCTATGGTACAGTTTGGTTCATTTAAGATTTTTATTTCTTTTGATTCTATGCTTTCTTTCACATATAGTGCCACTCCCACACCAGCACGACCTGTTCTCTCCTTCCGGTATATTTTGTACCCTGGTTTTACTGTGTCCCATTGATTATCCTCATTCCACCAAGTTTCTGTGATGCCTGTTATGTCAATAGCTTCATTTAATATGAGACACTCTAGTTCACCCATCTTATTATTTAGGCTTCTAACATTGGTATTTAAACAGTTTAAAAACTTGTCACTTTTTAGCTGTCTGCCATTACATGACATAATTGAATGGGACTTTTTTTCATTTGACTGTTTTTCATCAGATCCTACCTGTATTTTATCATCTTCCATACTCTCCGCCTTACTAGGACATTGAGATCTCCATGAATAGATCCTCCCCTAAGGGATGTCTCTGTCTGAACCACATGCTCCTCCACACCTGTTGGCTTTCCCCCAGCCCTTAGTTTAAAAATTGCTCTATGACCTTTTTAATTTTAAGTGCCAGAAATCTGGTTCCATTTTGGTTTAAGTGGAGCCCATCCTTCCTGTATAGGCTCCCGCTTTCCCAAAAGTTTCCCCAGTTCCTAATAAATCTAAACTCCTCCTCCCTACACCATCATCTCATCCACACATTGAGACCCTGCAGTTCTGCCTATCTAATTGGCCCTGCGTGTGGAACTGGAAGCATTTCAGAGAATGCTACTATAGAGGTCCTGGACTTCAATCTCTTACCTAGCAGCCTAAATTTGGCTTCCAGGACCTCTCTCCTATCCTTCCCTATGTCACTGGTACCTACATGTACCATGAACCCTGGCTCCTTCCCAGCACTACACGTAAGTCTATCTAGATGCCTCGAGAGATCCGCAGCCTTCGCACCAGGCAGGCAAGTCACCATGCAGTTCTCCTGGTCATCGCAAACCCAGCTATCTATGTTTCTAATGATCAAATCGCCCATTACTAATACATATCTCTTCCTAATAACTGGAGTTCCCTCCACTGGAGAGGTATCCTCAGTGCGAGAGGATACCACAACATCATCTGGAAGGAGGGTCCCCAGTATGGGATCATTTCCTTCTGCTCCTGTTGGATGTCCTCTGTCAGGGTTCCCTCCCCACTCTGAACTCTAGGGTACAGACGTGGGGACCTGCATGAAAGACCCCCTAAACTTATTTGTACCAGCTTAGGTTAAAAACTCCCCAGGCACAAATTCTCCCTTGTACCTTGGGTTTAAGTAACACTACCACCACCAAGTGATTTAACAAGGAACCAGGGAAAAGGACCACTTGGAGTTCCTCTTCCCCCAGCAATCCCCGCAAGCCCTTACACCCCCTTTCCTGCAGAGGCTTGAGAATAATATCCTAAGCAATTGATTACAAAATGATCAAAGACCCAAACCCCTTGGTCTTGGAACAATGGAAAAATCGGTCAGGTTCTTAAAAGAAAGGTAAAAATCATCCCCGTAAAATCAGGATGGAAAATACTTTACAGGGTATTCAGATTCAAAACACAGAGGATTCCCCTCTGGACAAAACCTTAAAGTTACAGAAAACAGGAATAAACCTCCCTCTTAGCACAGGAAAAATTCACAAGTTAACAAAAGATAAACTAATCCACCTTGCCTGGCTTTCCTATACTGGTTGCAATATTGGAGACTTGGAGTGGGATGGGTTGGAGAAGATGGATTTCTATCTGGCCCCTCTCAGTCCCAAGAGAGATCCCCCACACAAAACAAAGAGCACAACAAAACCTTCCCCCCCAAGATTTGCAAGTATCTTCTTTCCCCATTGGTCCTGTTGGTCAGGTGCCAACCAGGCTGTTTGAGCTTCTTAGCTTCTTACAGGTAAGGAGAAATTCTAGGCTACCCTTAGCTGTATGTTTATGACATCCTCCTTCCCTGAACTGACATCCTCCTCAACAGCACAGAGGCTGTCAGACCAGGTGTGGGACCATTCTACTGTGTCCTGGAAAGTCTCATCTACGTACTCCTCTGTCTCCCTTATCTCCTCCAGTTCAGGCACTTTAGTATCCAAAGCCTGTACATGGTCTCTGAGAGCTAGGAGCTCCTTGCACCGAATACACGCGTAAGCCACCTGCTCACAGGTAATCATATATGCTGCATTTGGTGCAATAAACTGGATAGCCCCTACTCTGTTGTTGGACTTCCGCCTGCACTATCTTTTTACTCCTGAAGCTTGTTCCTTTGTTGTTGTTTTGTTTTTATCAGGGGGTGTTTTT